CATTGGGCAGGGATGACTTGATGGGTAGGGATGACTTGATGGGCAGGGATGACTTGACGGGCAGGGATGACATTGGGCAGGGATGACTTGATGGGTAGGGATGACTTGATGGGCAGGGATGACTTGATGGGTAGGGATGACTTGATGGGCAGGGATGACATTGGGCAGGGATGACTTGATGGGCAGGGATGACTTGATGGGCAGGGATGACTTGATGGGCAGGGATGACTTGACGGGCAAGGATGACTTGATGGGCAGGGATGACTTGTATGGGCAAGGATGACTTGATGGGCAGGGATGACTTGTACGGGCAAGGATGACTTGATGGGCAGGGATGACTTGTATGGGCAAGGATGACTTGATGGGCAGGGATGACTTGTATGGGCAAGGATGACTTGATGGGCAGGGATGACTTGTACGGGCAAGGATGACTTGATGGGCAGGGATGACTTGATGGGCAGGGATGACTTGATGGGCAATGATGACTTGATGGACGGTCACTGATGACGTTATGGAGAGCGACCTATCAAACACGATATAATGCGCAGTTCGACCAAAAACCAGTCGAATCTGTTAAATCAAAGACAACGGCGGGGCGGGGGGGCTGGGTCGGGGTCGTGATTGAATGAAGATCAAATCACGAGCTGCTACTGAAATAAATCGATGGACAAACGACTGCACTGGAATCAATAATTTGTGAGTTCGAATTCACTGCCTGCATAGCTTGAGTGATAGCTCACCGTTCCCGAACGCCGAAACATTAGCAGCGTTTGAAAAAAAAAATAGGTCAAATTACGTTAACATAAAGCGCTGCACTAAGTCAACAAACTACAAATTAATGATCTCGCTAATTGATGCCCTGAAAATGACAACACAATGAATGTACGTATTGGGAGGGTTTACTATGAACGGCTTTCAAAGGAGCGGAGTAGTGACCCAAACACGGGATGTTTGCTTCAGTTTAAAACCAGCAGCGATAGACGCAGGCTTAACTTATTTTTTAAGATTAAATCATGGAAATTTAGTGTATTGGCATTTTATTGTACGGTTGTATAAAATAATACTGCCCCATTCGGGTCACAAATGCCAGAATGGGAATGACGACAACACCCCCCCCCCCCCCCAAAAAAAAGTATTAGTGCTTGACAGAATCCCTTGAGAACACTTGAATTAGGAACGAAGAAGAAGAAGATAAGAAATTAGTTGATTCAGTGTACTGTAAACTTGACAGCCAGATGTCAGATCTGTATACTGCAACTAATGGTAGATATTTTAGATGAAGAATGTCAGTACGCCTGTATTACTTCCGTGTGGAAATAATCCATTGGATACACTTTCCAAGGCGTGCAGTCCATTTTGAGATTTTGTAATGCATCATCAGCTCCTAGATGTTTACACGAAGAAAAATAAAAAGCTGACAGGCCGAGTCAGTGACCTACGAGATAAATAATATCTATACACATCTAGACCTAATCAGCCACGGCTATTACAAATTCGTTGAATAAATACACTCACTTGACCACGTGGTCTCCGGGATCTTTTAAAAAGCCGGCTTCCGCTCAGACGATGAATCAATCCGATACATGACCCAGTGCGATGTTTGAGTGTGTGTGTGTGGGGGGGGGGGGGGGGGGGGTTATGACTAGTGATTTGATCTCAGCCCCGACGGTGCCACAAACCAATTACAAACAGACCACAGGGAACAGAGCCACTCATATCACAGTTAGCCAGATGACATTTTTTTTTAAAGCAAGTCTTCAACTGTCAGTAAAAACCCATAAAGATGGGGAGGAAGATGATTTTTTTATGCTAGTGTTAGTCTACTGGTTCGGTTTTACCAAAGGCTGCTAGGTCTAGATACTAAATTATGCATTGTGTCGTAGTTTGTAATTTTTAAATACGAGCATAAATGTAAGTAATAAATTAGGAACTTTGAACAAAGAAATCAAACTTAACTGGCAGACATTGTATACATTTAAAGTCGGTTTTTTAGTCTCCTAATTATCCTACAAATAAACTTTCTGGCGTAGCTTTTGAGCATTATTACCCGATTAATTTTTTTGTTAAAGAATGTAAAGGCTATATAACAAGCATTTATTTGTAGAAATCACTGCTTAAAAAGTAGTAAGAAAATACGATAAAAAATTTTCTTTAATTTCATCACATTATCGTAAGCAAATAAAATGAAAGTAAAATGTCTTTGAATTTGACCAAGAACCCTTCTTTTTTTTTATAAAGAATTCTTTGACGCAAGAGTGTTGGAGTTTTCCCCAACAAGTTTTTCGATAAAAAACATAAAAGAGCAAACTTGTTTTTTTTTTCTTTTACCCTAAAGGCAATCTCGTAACCACTTTACCCCCATCCCTTCAAGCAATCTCCCCCACCCCACCATGTCCAGAGCTTGTTTCCTTTTTCCCCTATCCCCCTATACTTTTAAACAAGCTTACTCTAGATAGGAATTAATTCCGTGTATCGATCCCCAGCAGTGTTTGCGTGTAAATACACTCCAGACTGCGCAGATACGCACATGATAAGTGGCAAAATAGCCAACCCGTCCACGCAATATTTTCTCAAACCACAGGAGAATAGATCCGATTTTTGCACCGACACGGACGTCACGTGGTATCTGCACGATGCAGGTTGAGCAAACACCGGGACCTGGAGAGACCGCAGCCTACAGCCGTCTTGGACAACGGCGCACCTACATGCCAACCAGCAGCTATTTAAACAACAAGCAGAGAAAGTCCAATCCCTTCTTTATAAATAGTACTCCTACTAACGCAGCAATACAGCTTCGTAATTGGGAGTTTGACCGGTAGGGCTATCGCGGTTATGACGAGGTTATGGCCAGGGTAAGTAACTGTGTTCAGAATGTCAAAGCTAAAGCAAAACAAGGTTTAGATATGCTCAGTAAGAAATCATATTTCCACATCTAAATACGTCGTCTAGATATTATTTTGTTAACCTCTTCTTTTTCTTAATGAAAATCCTACCTTATTCACAATTCCGACTCTAATTTTAACCACCATGCTGACCAGTCTTAACTCTTAACAATGAAAGCGCCAGACTTAGTTCGGTACGGCCGGCATTCCAATTTTGTATGTGTGTAAAATTACATGAATGTGTGATTGTGTGTTGCGGTGTACTAGAATCCAATGTATCACAAAAAAAGTGTGTTCGATTTCCCGGACAGCAATAAAATATGGTAAACGTGAGGCAAATCGATGAAAACGTTACGGACCGCGGGTGTCAGTGGCCAAGTGATAAATGTAATTTTGGTCTGACTAAAAAGGTAGCCGGGTGTGAAACGTAAGATTTCCGTCTGGCGACAACAGGGTTCTGACCATGCTCTACCCTCACGAAGAACAGAGAGGACAGCTTGATTTCTTTTAATTATACACCAAACGGTGAGCTAGAGACGACATTGTGCGTTCATTCAGAGGTTAGACACAATTTGTAAAAAAAGAAATAATTTTAAATATATTTAAAGTTGTCACAGAAAAACTCTAAAAGGGCAGTGTAGTGTTATCAAAACATAGGTGACTAAAAAACTTGATAGAGGTGGGTTTTTTTCATGAATTTTCTACAAATAAGGCGTAGAATCTACTTGCTATTTTTTATAATTTCGTCAATTAATCTTTTTTTAAAGCAAAAATCAAATGGTTTTTTTTTTTCTCGTCGCCACGTGATAATTGAATTACAATTAAAACAATGTAGCCTCAACTGGGTCGTACTGACATTCAGTAGTATTGTAAAATCACTTGAACAAAAAAAAAGGGAGGTATTTTCAAAAAGGTGCAGTCATCTGTACATAATTGCCAGTCAGTTTCCGTTACAAATGTGACACCTCAGTGTAATATGTAGGGTTGGTTTATGTAACTAGCAATGTAGCGTCAAAGTCGAAAAAAAAATCACTTCTCCGCCTTTTGGCATGATGGTAGATTAATCTTAACATTGGTCGTGTCTTAAGTCTCCACAAAGACAAAGGGAGATCTACAGACAACATTACTTGTACTGCGTCAAAATGTGTGCGACAACCCCACTCGCACATCATCCCCGGTTCATTACGTATTTTCATTTACATTAACTCATCTCTTTTTCTCCTTCCACGTACATACTAAATCTAGGAGAAATCACAGTTCACATTTGCCTGTTTTCTATTTACATAGATGTATCGACCAAAGTGTCTGAATGCGCGTGTGCGTGTCTGAGCGTATTCTTTATTTCTGGGTTATTTTTGTTGTTTTCTTCCAGACGCTGTTACAATTCCTGGACGCCAGTCTCCATCGATGCAAGCCAACACACTGCGGTAGACAGCGGTTAATTACCGTATGACAAGTTCCCGCACGCTAAAACATGATAAGATTTAGCCACGATCTCGCTACTAACTTAGTTTGACTACAGCCTCGATTCCAGCACTTTTAAGAAAAGCTATACATTACCCAGACTGGGGGGAGTGGGTATATTCTCGAGGGGGTGGGGGTTACCCTTGAAGGGAGGGGGGAACCAAACGGCTGTTAGACGACCAGAACTGAAACACTTGAATGGTTTGAAAAATTGTTCAATTTTGTCATGTTTAAAAGTGCTTCTCGGGTTATTTGTTTTTACTGGAAATGACAGGGTAAAAAAATGGAAATGGCTTTTATAAACGAGTTAAGGAATATTTATTTTAGTGGCAGATTTTTTCCCCCCAAGGCTAACTTTGTGGCTACATGTCTATATATAGCAAACAAATTCATGAAGTGCTTGTCGCGGTGAGTGATTACTCCAAACAACAACAGGCAAGAACCTAGTTAATCTTCGGGGATATCCGCAATGTACGCCTAAGTTTCATTATTAACAACGGCAAGAGTAATCAATATGTCCATGCTAAAAAATATTTTGCATTAACAGCTATAAAAATTTAAAAAATTTTTTTTTAGCTTTAATGCGAATGTAATAATACTTGAGTATAAAAAAATAGTTAAATAAATGCGAATGTTAAGGTACTAGTCACTGACCTGTAGAGTGTGTGGACACGAGGCCAAAAGTTTGAGCATGTGGAGTATGTTCTGTGGGTCCTGAATGATGAAGTTGCTCTCAATATCAAACTCCCCTCCGACCAGCTGAGGATAATACAAGTTCAATAGTTAAGGAAATTTAAACACACGTAATTTCATTATTTTAGAATAAGAAGACAAAGTATAACCACCTCTGAATAGTATAAGATATTTTTTTTAAATAGACAGTACGCATGCGTTATGCAGAAGTAAGAAAATAACATAACGTACAAATTTAGATGCTTTTTTAAGAGGGCTACCACTTCAACCATTTTTACTGGTCCTTTTGCGGAATAGTACTAACATTGCATTGTGAAAATTAGTCTTGCCATAGAGCACGCCATATTTCTGCTGTTATGTCTGTATTTCTGTCGCTACAATTTTAATCATCAAACTATGGTCTTTTATTCTTTGACAAGTTAGTATGGAATGGGTGGGGGGGCTGCATCTAGGATCACATTGAAATGATTTGTTTGGTGTGGATGGCATTGTAAATTGATTAACTTTCAGGAAATAATGACAAGCGGACTATCACTTATCGATTTATTTTTTTTAAATGTGCAGCGCTTGTCGCTTCTTTAATACAGTCACGGTTAGCCTACACCTTACGACTTGCTCAGAATGCTAAGATCCCTATAAATAGAATCGTTTTACGTTGAGTAGAAGAGAAAATAGAAGCAGAGAGTATTGCGGCATTAGGGAAGCAGGGCCGAGCTCTTGTCGTAACTTTGTCACGAATCTAAGGACTATTTGGCTCAAGAGCTCTCTCAGACAAAGAGGGGCTAGAGGTAGCAAAGGGCCCTACAGATATGGATTTCCAGTTGTCGGTCATTACGTTCTATAGATCGTTGCCTGACAAGTGTACCAGTGTGATGAATTTCAATGAAGAGAGTGCAAATTAAAATACATAGTTTATTGAGATTTCGACTGGGTTTTTTTTTAAAGAAAAAGGTTAAGTAAGTATAAAATATTAAATTATTAAAAGTTTATTTTTAAGATGATACTCCTTTCTGTTATATCTCATACATGCTGCTATGTAAAACAAGAATACAAAAAGGCGTAGGCTTAATATTACATCAATTCATGCAATCCCTATTTTAACCAAAGAACTTCATTGTTATAAAGTATCAAATATTGCGATCCATGAAACATTTGAAGTATTTCGTGCCTCCACTTCATACTAGTTGTTCTATTGATCGACATTTCTAATTTAAAATTTCTAATTAGTTGGCGCCAATTAAAATAAGATACATCTTCACGGCGCCGGGCGCCGTCTTCATTTCCGGTTGAAATATCGCATCAGTCTAGGAGACCGATCATTGATCGCCGGGCAGACAAGTCAAGCCGCTAGATCTGACCGACAAGGGTGACAACAACAGCCTGAAACAATCGTTATCTTTAAGGCCTGCCTACCACCTTACCGCCCCTAGTCTTCTCTAGCAATTCGCCCCTCTATATACACGCACGCCCTCCAACATCTAAACCGATCGAACTAAAGCATACAATTCTATTATAATAAAAGATCATCAATTAGTAGGTGCTGGTAATGATTGCTAAAGTACCGCAGAAATCAATGCTACTGTAAAGTTCATCATCACCGCCGCCCCATTCACTTCTGGCACGAGTTCTATAAAGGTCGACAAGGCCCCTCGTGAATCCCGGCATAAAACTGGGAACAATAAGTGGTGAGATGGACCAAAAGATTAGCCTAATGTATCTCATTGGGCGGACGGTCAGCGCATTAGTGATCGCTAGATTAACGTCAGCATCGGCGGTCGGCGCCTGGGCTTCGGCGGACAGCGACGCGGCGGCTGAACCAAATTAAATGTTATTCACTGCCGGACTCTTGACGTGAGGACTGAAATCACCGCGTCAATGATGTTAAAATTACAGCAATCTTAAACTTATCGGATCTCAAAGCTTGTGATAGATATCCTAATCAGAGTTAAGAAATTACCAGATACAAACAGTAGCGTAGCGAGGGGGGGGGGGGGGGGGGGGGGGCGGGCGGAACATATGTCCAAATGGGTTGGAAAAATAAATTCGAATCGAAAGTTAGAGGGGGGGGGTGCAAATCGAAAAGTTTGTTTCCGGGCGCCGGGAAGGGTCGCTACGCCTCTGGATACAAATAAAAAGTCTCTGGTTTGCACCTCGGTCGAGATTTGAGTCTACAGAGCGTCCCTGAGTTCATCCAGCTCTAATGGGTGTCTGACTCAAATTAGGGAAAGTAAAAACGTCAACACCATCCTTTCATGTGTCGAGGGGGATTAACATATGAACTATACTTCATCAGTGCCCAGTGTTAAGATCTCAAGAAATGAAAGGGGAACTTTATTTTACTTGCTCAACAAATAAACAACTAATTGTGTTTGCTTTTGTTAAATTTTTTCTTTTAATTTTTTTAAAGATTCAAGACCAGTTAAATAACATCTGTGTATACCTCCAAGGCAGGAAAAAAAATTTTATTATATTTTTTATGTATAACCTCTACGTGGGGAGAGCAGGTGGGATTTAAAACATGACTAAACATTACTAATCGAACTCAGTTTTAATTAACAAGAAGTCACTTCCAATGTGATGATATTGACAGGAAATGATTGTAAACGCAGGCTCGCGCAAACACTATATATAATTATTATTATCAATTCTTCTAACGGGAGAAAGTATATAAATTGTATTCACTTGTGCTCCAATGTTATCAGTGACGTCAAAATAGAACGATGGCTGACATTGGAACTAGAAATAAATTATTTAGTCAAGCAGGTATTTAAAACCTGAAAACCAATAATTAGCAATCAAACGAGCTGATGAAATCCGAGCAAATGAGAGAAAAAAAAAACTTAGAAAGCACCACTCCCCCCCCCCCCCCTAATTAGAGCCAGTCGAGCAATGTCTGTAAGAGGAACACGTAATAAGGAAATGACTTGGAAAGCCCATTTCGTGGACGGATTGTTGACACAAGATATTCTATCGGTTCAGATTGATTTTTTTGGGACAGTCAGATCTTTGTGGCTTGTGTTGGGTTCATCACAAGGGCATCCAGGCCTGTAATGTAGGACATTAAGGAGGACATTATTACAAGCAGGGGGTCATTTTAGGTCATTCAAAGTAAGATATCACTAGCAGGTAGCTAATTTCAAGTCATTCAGAGTTTAATATTACAAGCAGTATTCAACAACAGGTTCTTTAAAGTAGGACATTATAAACAGTATCTCGAGACATAAGCTCAATTCAACCTGGGCATCTCCATGTAGTATTGATAAAACTAAAACATAGTGAAGCTATTTCAATAGACAAATACTCAGTTCCCGCTGGCGCGACATCAGCAACGCACACCTATGGGAAACGACAGGACAACTTTCCGCTGAAGAAGAAATCAGGAAGAGAGGATGGGGTTGGATAGAGCACACACTGTGCAGACCACAAACCTTCTTCTTCCTCGTTCTTAATTTTTAGTGTTGGGAGGGATCGAGCCTTATCTGCCAGAGGGTTTGAACGCGAGACTTTTTTCGAATTTATCAACCATGAGCTTTGCCGACTCGACCATGCTTAGACCACCAACCAATACCACCTAGCAGTCATTGTGGTGGAACCCGCAAAGACAGCGCAAAAGATGAAACGCCTAGCGACTCGACCTTGAAGCTAAAACTTTGGGTCAAATTGAGAAGATGGAACAGGACAGAGGACTATAGATATCTTTGTGTGATGATGATGATTTCAATACATACATCCTGTAGCATGATAGCCGTTGTTACAAAAGATCATTCATTAACCTTGTTAAAAATATCTTTTAATTGTGAGCATGCCAAAAGAAAATCCATCATATCTAATAACCGATTTCTGCAATCGTTAGGTATAATCGACCTTTATGCTTCAATTGACTGTATTGTTTGAAGTTGCAGCCAATCAACCAAGATATTCATCAAATCGATAATCGATCACTGCCCGGCTTGCGTTACTGAACAGTGGTGTGGGAGTGGGTTCCATATACAAAATGCAAAACGCAGGTTTAAAAAAAAATATTAATTAAAAAATACTGCCTTTTAATTAGTTTTCCCCCCAACGTTAGTCAGGTACCCATCAAACCTGGGTTAGCTCGGTGATTTCCTACCTTGAGCTCGGAAAACGAACTCGAAACGTTCAGGGTTAGCATTCACGCCCTACCACATCGTTACCGTGTAAGATCCCTTGCGATTCTATAGTTATCTTCAGGACAAATAAAAGCGCCACTAATCTCACATTGTGTTCAGTTTGGCTGAGGCAGATTAAGTGACAATGTCAGGAAAAAAAAGACCGATACAAATATCAAATACCCAGTGAAGCGTGCTAAAGAATATACTGAAAGACATCATCCCACCCAACATGCAACCAGATTAATTAAGAAAGAAAAAACACGATACAATAAATCCATACTAAATCCCACATGAGACGTTTTTACAACACGATGTAAATAAACCCTTATATAAAAGTAGGTTGCTATTTCAAGCATCGCCAGCTACAGTGCACGGGACTCGGTGCCCGAACACTGACAGCTGTCCTATGCTGAAGGGGTGGGGGGGGGGGGGTGGACGAGTCCAATGCAGCAATCCTAATGTTCACGTTGAAGGTTATCTGACCGAAATTCGAATACAACACTGGCTAAAAATGCTTGGGTCATAATAACCTTTAAATGTACTTCGCCGCGTCTTTTCAAACAGAAGCACAGCAACAAAAAATTTGTCCGTGTGTTTTTTTTTTCAGCTGTATTCGACATCAATGATACATCAACATTATTCCCACTGTATTCAACATCGACACTATACAAAAGGGCATATAGCATTTGACGCGAATAGCACCCGACATCATAGTACACACCTTGCATTCGACACACTTGACAACCGGCATGAATGCTATACAAATATTACATACGCTGCATTTGACACATATTCTGCATTCGACACACCGCATCCGACATCAACGCCCAACATATACTACGCACACTGCATTCAACGACACATATACTGCATTCAGCATTATTGCCATGTATAAAGATATATACTGCACGTGACATAAAGCTATACACAGCC